TATCGCATTTTTCTCATATGTGGACTTCACATTGTTTATCAATAGATAAAACTATACATGTATGTAATATATTCATATGCATACATGTGGCATGAAAGCAAAAGATAAAGAGAAGGAAGGATGCCAGATTAGGGAAGGGAGGAGTAGAAAGGGTGTGTGGAGGTGAGAATGGTCAGAGCATCCAACAGACTAGAAACTGTCTCTAAGAAACTTACCACTATACACAATAAATATATGCAGCAGAAATATTAATAGTTCCTAAAGACTAGAAATAGCAGACTTATCTATCTTATATAGAGCTTTTGTACTTTACAATGAACTCATCCACGTTTTCACTTTCAGTTTTTATGTCCTCTTTCTCTGCACAGTTCTCACATTTCAATTCTCTTTAATTCTTAAACCTGGAGTGTTCATTCCTTTTAGGGCACAGAACTCTGAGAAGATAATAAATCTCCAAGCCATAGCTTCTCCCAGTCATTGTGATAATACTTTTAGCCTTGCATTATATAATGCTAAGATTATACATGCAAGCAGTCTGTCTTTACTCAGAACTTTATTGAAGGTATGAGGGCCTGAAAGTCATTTTTCTCTTTATTTAACTGTTTTTCTGATATTTGCATGCATCAACTTCACTGTTTTTAGTAGCCTTGCATGTTTTTTTTTATTCTGAGACTATAGAATTGTCTTGTGATATTTTTCTGAATTAACTCATTTTAAAGATGTTATTTTATTGTTTATTGATAATTTGTGTGAGAGAGTATCAAATCAATCTGAATTGTCAATTTGTAAGCATGTAACTAAAAAAAATCAACCACTTGGTTAGACCACTGATTATTTTCCTTTTCCTTTTCAAATTCAGTTATTTTTCTTTTCACGTTTAATCCACCAGGCTATATGTAGATGTTGGCTCTTCTTTATTTATCATTCCTGGCACATTTTCATCTGTGTATTTAGAAACTTTGTAATTTAAGAGGGGGGAAATGATCTTATTTCACTGTAAAACATGGCTGTGTTCCATTTGTGCTGTTTTCGTGGTCATGAAAAGCATGTGTGTATGTCTCTGTTGGCCGTATTCCAGACATGCCATCCTCTCTACAGACAAAGTCTTCCTTTCATCTCTTTCTTTTGCATAATTGGATATAATTTTCCTTCTTGATCTCCCCATAAATGAATCCTTTGGCTACAGGGTCTGGGCCTTTTGTGTTTCTAACCCTCCTTTGGTACCTCCCTGTAGTCCTGCACCTGCTCTCCCTCTGGACTCCTGGTTTAGTCCCTGACAAATGAGCGTCTTCCTCTGGGTTTAGCTCCACTTTCCCTAGCATCTGCTGGGGAAACTGCTTCAGATGTGAAACATTTGTCTCACCAACATCCAGTCCCCAGTGTTAACTAAACTATGCTAACACTAGGAGGTCATTCTGGAATTTCTCTTTCTTAGTATTTGAGCAACCCTCCTAGAGAGAGCTGTAAACTGCAATATCTCTATGGACTCAAACCAAGATGCTTTGGTTCCTAAAACTAATTGCATTTATTTACTTTTTTCATCTTTCAAATTTTGTAGTGATTTTCAATTTTGGTTTTACTACAGAAGTTCAGTTTTATTTCTTGGTTTTCAGAATAATTTCTTATAAATCTTTAAATTGCATAAAAGTCATGAGGTCAAGTTATTAACTTTTCTTCATTCATTAAGAGGGAAGGTCACTTGCACATGCTTTAAAAATTTCAGGTTCTCTTCTAAATAATGGAATATCATCCAAAAATATTTTTATGGGATTGAAATGATGACTCAGCAGTTAAAAAAATGCTAACAGTTCTTGCAGTGCATCTGGGTTCAGTTCCTAACATCCACAGAGCGGCTCATAATCTCTTCTAACTCCAGGTTAGGGGATCCTATATCCTCTGGTCTCCACAAACACCTGCACTTGTGGGGCACATAAATTCATGAAGACATGCATATATCACTACAGAGTAAATCTTTTTTTAAAGGAAGTTAAGTTTTATATTTGTGCTTAGATAAATATGCATGTATTCATAATGTCTGTGTGCTTCTTCTAAGGAACATAACTGTTAATATTTTTCAGTACAAGCTAAAGCTAGAAATCGACTAATGTATTATGATGACCTCTCAGGATATCATTTTACAGTGATGAAAACATAGAAGCAACAAGCATCCAATAACAGACACAACATTTTAGAAACAAGGTTAAGTTTGTGGGGGCCAGTGCCATATAGTCTTACTTTATAGTTTTAAAGTAAGCAAACTCTACAGAAACAATTCAAACGTTTGTAATAAATAGTCCATGGAACAAATGGCATAAAAACTGATTAACATCACGACCACAGCTATGTAATGTTCTGAATTTAACAAGACTCCTAAGAACAAGGACATTTAATCATTTGTATCAGCTTGTTAAAAAAATGAGTATCTCAATTCCTCAACCTTTAGCTATCTCTATCCCCTTTGATTATTTAAAATAAGAAATCCTACTACTTTCACCAACATATGGCATAAACACAAACTGAACAAAGGCAGTAGAAATTGACATGCTAATGTAGACAGGGGAAAGTGCAAGGCTTCAGCTCTATACAAAGAACTATAGGCAACTAAGGAATATTGAGAGCAGGAGAAATAGTCTCATAGGAAAGAGCCTACCAATTAATTATCCAATACCAAATGATCAGGCCTGAAAACATACACACAAGTAACATTACACAGACTGAATAGGTTATAGTTAGATATGTATATATGTGCATACATATGTATATGCATATATAAACAATTGATAGAAAACAGGCCATGAATTTTAAAGATAGCAAGGTAGAATATATAGGAAGAGTGGGAGGCAGGAAACAGAAGGGAGATACGATGTAATTATAAACTCAAAAATTACAAGAAATATTTTAGAAGATAACAAATATTCAAAAAAATTAAATGTCTTTATAGAAAAAAATTCTGATGGTGCAAAACTTCAACGGAGAGTCTTTGACACACAAAAGACAGGCATTCAAATTCTGAAACGCCTTTCTGTTACTGTTTGGGGGCAAGGATAATTTGCAATATCTTGAAGCTCAAGAGCATAGTTTCTAGGTTCAAACTAGAATGCAGTGCCTCTCACTGTGTGGTGACCTGTAAGGGTATTTTCCTGACAGATTCTTAGGGACCAGGCCCATCTCTTTTCCTCAAATACTCACATCCTAGCTCAGTATCTGACTTATGTTACGATATTGTGGCTGAGATGTGAACTTTTCCTTATAACTTGAGATCTACATGTGACTAGTTTTCTATGCAAGCAACTAAATCTAAAATTATCTTAGCACCATTGATGAATGCTGAAACAAATGTTCTTCCACAAGTGCACCTACAGACAGACACATAGAGTCGCAATTCATGGTGGAAAGATGGGAAAAAAGAGAACTGGAACACACTGCCATCCACAAAGGAAAAGAAAATACTACATAGCCTTCAGCTTACTGAACTGTGAGCAATGATGCTATTATGAGTAAATTTTCTTTTTTTAAATGCAGGTTTCCTAATGAATTTCCTTTCAAGTCACACCCAAACCTATAACTTTGCTGTTACCATTTCAGAATTCATGGTTTCGTTTTTGTAGTAACTTCTAACACCATCCTTTCCAATGGCAGCATCCTATTCAGACAGCTTACTCCTTCTATTTCTCATCTCTAATGACCCTTCACACATGTTAGCTATTCGGCAAACCCCGAATTATCCTCTTTTCTTCAGGTAGTTTTATCAAGGGATGAGTCAAAATTATATCAGATGAGACTGAAACGTTCAACATAGATTGGCGCAGAATGGACACCAAAAAATTCAGAAATAAATTTCGGGAGTTGTGGAGATTTGAGAAGCCCCGATTCTTGTTTGGATTGTTGGACAACCTGGATGTAAAAAGACCCTCCTGCTTTTTAGAAACTGCCACAGTCCCTGCTCCTCTCCCAGGTAACACAAAATCACCCCAAAAGCTATGAAACGAGGAATCATAAAATTAAAAACAAAAACAGAAGCAGACACCTGTTATTTTTTGATCCCATGTGAGAAACCAACAACTACAACAGAAACAAATGTCGCAAGGGGCCTTACTTCCCATTTTCCACCCAGGGAAATTGGGTACAGAAATTGAAATCTTCCTAAGGCGTGTGTGTGTGTGTGTGTGTGTGTGTGTGTGTGTGTGAGAGAGAGAGAGAGAGAGAGAGAGAGAGAGAGAGAGAGAGAGAGAGAAAGAAAGAGAGAGAGAATTCACACACCCTTCACAATACAGTCTTTGGAAATTTGGGCTCAAAGTTAAAATATTTATTTTTCTATGAGAAAGAACTTAGGGAACTTAAGTCAGAAAAATAACCAGCCCTGGATCAGGGTTATGGACCCACTTCCTAATTCCAGCCAGGCCCTCCAAGCTGGGCTCTTAAAGATTCAAAGACAAAATGGAGTTGCTTTGGCAAGACAAGACTTTCCTTGCTGGTGGGCCACCCCAATGATAGCCGCTCAACCAGGCCAATCGAGGACAATTTAGCAAACAGCAGTCTACAGGATCACAGAGTGGGGCAAGGCCAGGAAGGCCTCCCCCAAAGCTGATGTAGCAGAGGTACCCCTGAAACCCTCCTCTGGGTTGGGGGTTGACCCTGATGAAGGCCAGAGGCAGACAAGGACAGGACAGTGGTGGTCTTGAGGCGCATTATCCCCACTCCCAGGCACCTGCTTCCCCCACCTCCAGCACCTGCTGGATGCCCAGGCTGGGCAGGCCCCATCCAGAGGCCCATGGCTTCCCAAGGCCGCCCAGACCAGGTTGCCCCGGGCCGGAGGGCGCACAGTGGCTCCCAAGGTCCCTTCCCTGCGCTCCCCAGGCTGAGTTGTGGGCGGCCTTTCCTGTTCCCAGCCCCTTCCCGGGCCGGACCCCAGCGAAGGGCGCACCGGGCGCTCCCGGCCTTCTGATCAGGACTCTGTGCCCGCCGCGCCGCAGCCTCCGGGGCCAGCGGCGGTGACCAACCTGTAACCGCGGCGCGCGGAGCGGTCACGGTGCTGGGGATGGGGCTGCAGCGGCAGTGGCGGCGGCGGCGGGTGGCATCCTTGTGGGTCGCGCAGATCTGGGCCGGCGGGTACGCTGCCCCTCACCTACGGCGGCTCAGTCAGCTCCTTGCTAGCCCTGCACTAGCGTCCGCGGATAGGGCGAGGGGCTCGGGGAGAGCTGCGGGGGTCCTGGCCTTGCGTTTATTAGCTTGCCTTTTGCAGTTGGCTTTGCTGCGCGAGCAACAGAGGATGCTCAAGGCGGCGCCGCAGCTGGTTGCCAGTGCCAGGGTCCGTACTTGCAGGTGGCTTCCCTCTCTCTGCTGAGAGCCAGTCTCTCAGCAACAGCTGGGCAATCTTAGGCTGCTGTGGGGGCTCCTACTTCTAGGCCTGCAAGCCCAGTGTGTGCTTTTGTCGTCCTGATTTATTAAGTAGTGTCTTAAGGGTACTAACTAGGACCACATCTGAGTATGAAATTGCTAAATAAGAAATACATTATTAAAGTTTTCGGTCTTTTAAATTTTCTGTCATGTAGATTGGGGCTAAAGTCTGTTCATACATGGTTAACCCCAAACCCCATTTGTGGCACCAGGGTAGTTGGAATTTGGGGCCTCTAAGGGACCCCAGTAGAATGGGTGTAGGGTCACCTTGCATCTCAAGCACCATGTACATGCCCAGCAGACACCTTCCATTGCACGCTCTTCTAAAGGTTTGCTTGAATATTTTCGTCTTGCTAGGCAGTCAGCCACAGCAATCATGCAGAAGTTTCTGGCCTGTGATTTCACTATCACACACACACGAGACAGTCGGGATGGAGAAAGATGAAGCTTCCTTTAAAGGGAAGATTAACAGAGAATCCACTGCTTATCACAAATTACTATATCCCTAGCAACAAAAGCAAAACTACATGCACATTTTAAACATGCATTTTTGGGCGTTGTTTACTTAAATTTCTACCTTTGCAAACAAACCAATCTTCACAAGCCCTTTTAGACTGTTTGTGAACTTTTGGCTTGTTTTATTTTGTTTTTGCTGTTGTTTGTTGGGGTTTTGTTTATGTTTGTTTACAGGGAAGTGTTCATAATTAGTGCTTTACCATATATAGAAATGTGAGGGTTTTATTTTTATACCTTAAAATTTCAGGAGACTTCAGAACCACCTACATATATATAAAGTTGTATTTTATGCAAAGGACTGAGACATTTTCATAATAAAAATAATTTCAATATTGGTAAAACACAAACCCTCTAAAAGGGTTGTGAAGATTGGTTTGTTTGTAAAGGTGGAGATTTACATAAACAAGGCCAAAAAATGCATCTTTAAAATGTGTGTATAATTTTACTTTCATTGCTAGGAATACAGTATTTTCTGGTAGGCAGTTGTTTGTCAGTTAATCTTCCTTTTAGAGGAAGCTTTATCTTTCTCCATCCCAACTGTCTTGTGTGTGTGTGATAGTGAAATCACAGACTGGAAATTTCTGCTTGATTGCTATGGCTGAGTGCCTAGCAAGAATAAAATAGTTAAAAATAATTTCAATACTGGTAAATCCATAGATAATTAACTTAAAAACTTTTACTGGTTCATTTCACCATCTCTCTGTTTATATTTTATTTTAACCTACATACTACTTTATTGCTTGTGTTAAAATACAAAATTGGCATATCACTCTTGGGTTTATTACTATAAATTAGAATTATCACAGGAAAAATATAATCATGAGACATTTTAACACTAAGATTTTTATAAATATTGAATGTCATGTTTCAGCAGTGTTTTTCACCTATTCCAACAATATTATATCATAGAGGCCCTTTAGAGTCTTCCCTGTCTGTAACTGACATTTCTCAACTGACAAATCTGATTCCTGCTTGAGAATACTCAGAGTACCACGGATGATTCAGAGTCTTGAAGAATCCATGGAATTCAAGGAAAGTCCTTGTGCTCTGGGGATGTGTGGAGAAGCTCAACACAGCCATTCTAGAATCTAGGGATTCACTGTATATAGGAAGAGGCCTTTGAAAGAAACAAAAGAGAATACTTATATTCAAAATACCATTTTGACTCTCTCTACCTGCTCATTATTCCTCCACTTTCCTTTTTAGTCAAAACCAGAAAACATGAACAAATGCTTCCTTCAGAATTGCTGTTCTATGAATTAATATAAGTCACAGATTATTTTTTCTGTCTTGCAACATTTTTTTTGACAAACTAGCATCAATTTCCAACACTTGAATACCATGAAATTTTCAGTTTATTATACAACGTGGGGCTATCTGGTCAGAACACATCTGTAACCTCACCTATTAATAAGCATCTGGGGACACCCTGTGCCCCCTTTTTATAGCATGTCATCTCCATTTGCTGGACTACTTGCTTCAACTTCTGAGCCTGGAAAGAAAGTATGTGTGAAATATGAGTTAAATCTGTATTGTAGTATGAAATGGAAGTGGAGGCCGAGTAGCCACAGGGGTCTGCACAGTGCAGCGGGAACCAGGGCACTGTGCAACGAATACTGAGACTTATGGCTTACAGGTCTTGCAGGTAGTTGTCCTCATACCCTAATCAGTACTTAGGAAACACAAGATAGGAAGAATCTGATGAAAATGAGACACTTGTTTTTTACTACCTCATATGCTCTTACTGTTTATATCCATTAATTGCTATTATTCCCTTTATTTACTCATAGTGAATTGCCAATAAAACAATAACCATGATAAAAGAGAGAGTTTTGATCCTTGGGAAAGATGGCGTGTAAGCCTTGGAAATATAACCACCCAATTCTGGAGGAGAATTCTAGTTGAGTACAGTTCAATTAGATTCGATTTATAGATACTTTTTGCTTATATAATTGTTCAAGGATCTTTTAAAGGCTCATTTTGGAATTGGTCTAAATCAGTACACACTTATTTATGTGATATTATTTCAGTGTCTACTGGCCCCTGATTATTTATCAGATGATTTTTCTATTAAAGTCTCGAGGTGGGAAAATAAAGGTTAAATATACCCACATAAAAATATAAAGAAGGATGAGGCTTTTGTTTGCCAACTAACTGTCATAGTTTCTTGGATACAGAAGTAGTGTAGTCAGAAAATATGTCTTAATGAGGAGTGGGCAGGGCTTAGGAAAGCCAACACAATGTACAGCAGGACTCATAACAGTTGGAGCAAGGGGACAGACATACAGATATATTGCTAATTTGTGTAGTTCCAGGTCTATATAGATTATCAAGGCCTATCTTGAATCTTTAGAGAATCAGTATAAAAAGTTTCTATTGAGAAAAATTTATGGTTGGTCATTGTGCTGGTTGTTTTAACCGTCAACATCTTAAAATCACATGCAAAGAGAATCTTAATAGGGAATAGCTATATTAGGCTAGCCTGAGGCCATATCTGTGAGAGATTGCTTTGACTGTTAGTTGAGGTAGGATGACACACGCAGAATGAAGGTGCCACCATTTCATGGGCTAGGCCAGGAACTGTGGAATAATGAAAAAAGCTAGCTAAACACAAACAGCAGCAGCAGGTAGGAGGCAGGAGTGCACTTATTTCTCCCTGCCTTTTACTAAAGATGTGATGTGACCAGGTGTCTCAAGTTGCTGCTTCTTTGACTTTCTTGCAGTGATGAACTGTAAGCTATAATCTCTCTTCTCCAAGTTTCTTTGTTTAAGATATTTTATTACAGCAGCAGAAATGAAACTGGATCCATAGTCTTCCCTTGTCCTCAGTGTTCTAGATGGAGACCATGAATAAGTCCTTACCTTTGCATGGGTTCACATATTCAAGCAATAAGAAATCATCTACTTATAAGTAAAATATTTCAAACTTTTGGAACATATCTTAAGGTATACATTTTCCTTCATGGGAATGTCCTAAAACATTTTTGTTCTTTTTAATTTAATTTTCTTTTTTAAATTTTTCATTCTAGCACCAGTTTTCCCTCCCTACCCTTCTCCCATCCCCCAGCTCCCTCCATCCACTCCTCAGAAGAAGTAAGACTTCCCTTGCAGAATCAACAAAGTCTGGTATACCAAGCTGAGGCAGGACTAAGGCTCTGCCCCCATGTATCAAGGCTGAGCAAGGTATCCCACTGTAGGGAATGGGCTCCCAAAAGTCAATTCATATACACAGGATAAGTCTTGTTCCCACTACCAGTTCCCCTTCCCAAACAGATAAAGCCACATAACTGTTGCACAAATTCAGAGGACTTAGTTTGGTCCCATGCAGGATCCCCAGCTCTCAATCCAGAGTCCTTAAGTCCAACTAGCTTGGGTCAGCTGTCTTGGTGGTTTTCCCAATCATGATCTTGATCCCTCTTGCTCATATCATGATCCCTCCTCCCTCTCTTCACCTAAGCTTCAGGAACTCAGTTCAGTGTTTGGCTGTGGATCACTGCATCTGCTTCCATCAGTTACTGCATGTTACCAATAAATAAACCTATGAAGTGTTAATTTATAATGTATTTGGTGAATGAAAACAGACATAAAAAGGAAAGAAAAAAGCATGAATGCTCCTAGATACGATGGAGGAGAAAGTGTATTATAGATATGTGGGAGAGCATAGAGTGGCCACGGCCAGGCTGAAGGAGGCCATGTGGAGAGAGGGGAAGGAAGAAGGGAGAGATGGGGACCAGGTGAAGCACCCAGGAGTATAACAGTCTGTCCTGTCCCTTTAAGAGACAAGCCCTGCACACTCCTTCCCTGTCCACCAAGCCAAGTGGATCTTCCTTCCGCTTCCAGTCTGAGACCTTCTTGCTTTCCATCTCTCTCTCTCTCTCTCTCTCTCTCTCTCTCTCTCTCTCTCTCTCTCTCTCTCTCACTCTCTCTCTCTCTCTCTTTTTGCCATGGCTCCTCTCTCCCACACATTTCTCTCTCTCTGTTTTTCTCTCTCTCTGACTCTTTCTCTCTCTCTTCCCTCTGCTCTTCCCTCTGCTTCCAATCCCCCTTTCCCCTCTATAACCCACTAAATAAATATTCAACCTCACTCTGCATGGTGTGCCTATCCATCTCTGTCTCTCACTTGCTGCAACTCCTCATGGGACCAGCTGACCTGCCTAGGTCTCTCAGGCTCTGTGTATCTCCCTGCTTGGGACTTTCTGCTGCCCCTTGTGGCTCATGGGCTACTGCCCCTTGGGGAACTGCAGTGTTTTATTTTTACTATAACATTGATGCTCTGTGACTCAACCAGGCTCTCTCCATATTTTCTACTGCCAGGAGGGCTGGCTGAGGACACATGGAACCCTGGGCTTGGGAACCGAGTTTCTTTACAACAGCCTCACATTCTATCTGCCTGAATGCCAACCTCTACACACACCAGCAGCTTCAGTTGGTGAGTT